TGACTATTTTTCCTTTTCTTTGCTGTCATTTTGGAAGAAGTGGGAGTGATAGGGCCAGTGCACACCTACTTTGCTTGTTGTAAACTGTGAAGTATGTGGCAAATAAAAGGTTAATTTAAAAAAATCATTTCTTAGGAATTTTTTTGAAACTTTTGAAGGTTTAAACATACAAATATCTTACTTCTTAGAACATTTTCTTAATTAGATGGTCCTTGCCTAATCATGAATTTGATTACAGTTTACTAAATGTGTTATTTGATGTTGTGGAATCTTTATCAGATTTCACTTGAATCCAGAAAGGTAACACCTGTGGGTTCCCTCACAAAGCCTCTTTTGTTAAATGGACACCCGCAGGCCATGAGGCAATTACATTTTGTTGCTTGCACTGAAAAGGAGGTACTTAACTAGACATCAGTAAGTATAGCTAAGAACTAGAGGCTGGATTCTTTTGTCCAGCTCTGAGATCAGGTTTTATCATGGCTCAGGAAGTAAACTTCTGACGTAGAAATGCAAAGCAAGAGTGATTTAAAGGTTCTTTCAGTGCTTTAAAATTTTTGCTCTCAAGTTAGATAGCTTGACAGATTTATAATATTATAAAAAAATTATTGAAGGTTGTGATTATGAGAAGCAACATAAAGAAATGGAATTAGGAATTTGTGAGACATTTAATTATGTATTTATTGGCGTGTTTTTCTGCCATAGTTGTAAAGTTATCACAGCTTTTAAAATACATTTTATCTACACTCCTATACTGTTCATACTTTATTATATATAGTGTTGACATAGAATCCTTTTTCTTTCATCTGGTTCAATTTTTTTTTCTTTTATTATTCACATGTGCATACAAGGCTTGGGTCATTTCTCCCCCCTGCCCCCACCCCCTCCCTTACCACCCACTCTGCCCCTCCCTCTCCCCCCACCCCCTCAATACCCAGCAGAAACTATTTTGCCCTTATCTCTAATTTTGTTGTAGAGAGAGTATAAGCCATAATAGGAAGGAACAAGGGTTTTTGCTGGTTGAGATAAGGATAGCTATACAGGGAGTTGACTCACATTAATTTCCTGTGCGTGTGTGTTACCTTCTAGGTTAATTCTTTTTTATCTCACCTTTTCTCTAGTTCCTGGTCCCCTTTTCCTATTGGCCTTGAATTTTTTTTTTTTTTGGCAGCATTAGAATTGGCATTTTTATGTGATAACCAGTAGGTTAATCTAACAGACAATAACTGTTTTGAGCTAGAAAGGAAATTTTTGTTATCTTCCCTGCCTATTCCATATGAGAAAAGTCAGGTTTTGTGTTTCAGACCTAAACCAAAGCTGCACTGAACTTTATGTGTAAATGAGATCTCTCTGCTAGACTACTATTATAGTCATTTAGAGATGGGCGGGGCGGGGGAGGGGTTACAGTACTGGTAACATTTGCTTGTATTATTCAAAGAGGCAGAGCCTCTGTATGGATTGGAAGTTACCTCTCTTTTTACAGTACTAGAGACCAAAAAAAAAAAAGAAGAAAAACATTTTTTAATTCAACAAAGCCCTTTCTAGTTTTTATTGTAATAGACAGTGTTCCTTTTTAAAAGATACAACCATCAGGCCAAGCATGGTGGTGCATACCTCTTATCCTAGCACTGGAGAGGCTGAGGCAGGAAGGAAGATCATGGTTTCAAGGCCAGCCTGGCTACATAAGGAGAAACCTGCCTCTAAATAAACAAATAAACATTTTAAAAAGTATCACTGAAAAAAGTTAAAGTATTTTTGTGTGTAAACACTTTATCTAAATAATATACATTGTATTATAAATATGTAGATTTAAAAATATTTGAGCAAGTTGTTTTACATTTATATATTGTTCTACAGCTTATTTAAATTGACTATCAGAAATCTTTCAGTTTGTTTTGTGTTTCAATCATCTGTGTATTTTTATGTAAAAGAAATGTATTTCATTTAGCCTTACCTAGTGAAGAATATTTGCACTAAGTTGCCAATTCTGAGATGCAGATATTTCCATATGAACTTCTTACCAGTTCATGGTTGCATACTCGGTTTGGCAAGCCTTTTCTAGAGATCTTGACAGGAAATTTGTAAATAAAATCATCAATGATATGTCACTGAAGGAGACGCAAGGTACAGATGGCAAAGCACACCTTACATCAAAACTTTTAGTTCTCACCAAAATGATTCTCTTTATGTTGTTATCAAGTATGCTTTAAAAGGCTTTAGCTGCTTCTGGTAATGATGGAGTAGCTGGTAATGGACTTGCCCTCCTGCTTTAACTAGACCTGGGCACTAAGTGGTCTGTAATCCTACCTACTTGGGAGGCTCCCAGTTCAAGGCCAGCCCAGGCAAATAGTTCACAAGACCCTATCTATCTCCAAAATAACCAGAGCAAAACAGACTGGAGATGTGGTTCAAGTGGTAGAGCTCCTGCTTTGCAAGCACAAGGCCCTGAGTTCAAACTCCAGTCCCAACCAAACAAAAAAACAACTAGTCAGGTGCCAGTGGTTCACTCCTATAATCCTAGCTACTCAGGAGGCAGAGTTCAGGAGGCTCATGGTTCAAAGCTGGCCTGGGCAAATAGTTCATGAGACCCTATCTCGAAAAAACCCTTTACAGTAAAGGGCTGGTGGAGCGGATCAAGGTGTAGGTCCTGAGTTCAAGACCCAGTACTGCAAAACAAAACTAGGAACACCGGCAGGATTGTGCTCTTTGACTCAACCTAACAACCTGAAAACAAGGTTTGAAAGGAATAAACTGATCTGTACCAAACCAAACACCCCATTCCAGATTCAATACTCTCCAAGGACAGGCAATAAAATCCAGTCAACAAATGAATAGCTAGATAAATCACAAATTACTAGCTATGCAAAGCAGGAAAATGCAACCCATAATAAGAAATAAATCAACTAGCTGGGTGAAGCAGCTGATTACCCGTTATCTTAACTACTCAGAATACAGAGACCAGGAGGATCATGGATCAAGCCCATCTGCTGCAAACAGTTAGGGAGACCCTATCTCAACCAATAAAAAAAGCAGTGCATGGTGGCACATGCCTGTCATCCTAGCTACTCAAGAAGTATAAATAGGAGTATCGTGGATAAGGCTGGCTTAGGCATAAATGCAAGATCTTATATCAAAAATAACCAGAGCAAAATAGGTTGGGGGCATGGCTCAATGGTAGAGTGCCTGCTTTGCAAGCACAAGGCCCCAAGTTCAAAACCCCAGTACTGCCAAAAAAAAGTAAATCAGTTAAATAGGCCCAGTATGACAGAGATGATAGAATTAATGGATAAGCACTCTAAAATACCATTTTAAAATATTTTCAAAGATCTAGGGGGAAAAGTGAACACAACAAAGAAACTGTAAATGTAACAAAGAACCAAATACCGTTTCTATAGTTTGAAAATGTATTAGATGGTCTTTACAGCAGTAGAAACTGCAAAAGAAAAGGTCAGTGATTTTGAAGACATAGCAATAAAAAACATACAAATTGAAGGAAAATGTCTAGGAAAAACTGAATAGGTTTAGTAATCTATACGACAGTATTAAACAGACTAACATACATGGTATAGATGTTCCAGGATAATGAGTGAAAAAGAAGGCAATCTATATTTTTTTCCCCCAAAATTTGGTCAAAACTGTAAACCAGACACCCAAGAAGTTCAGATAAAATAAATTTGAGGAAAATAATCAAATTGCAAAGAGCTGCTGATAAAGAGAAAACAAATAGAGAAAAGACTCATGAAGCGCAATGTGAGAACAAAGAATTTTTGCTGACCTCTCATCATAAAGAGAATTAGAAGACAGTGAAATGTTGGGGAGGGGAAGGAATACACTCAATTGAGACTCTACACATAGCAAAATGTCTTTCAAAAATGGGGAAATAAAGATATTTTTAAGCAAAAACTTGAGAGAACTTTTAAGAAAGCCTAAAAGTTGTTAGTAGTTAATACTATAGGACTTGTTAAAAGACGTTCTCAAACTGAAGGACAAAGCTAGGACATGGAAATACAAACTTACAACAGCAAAGAACACTAGCATGCTAAACGTGGATGAATACACAAGAAACACATGGCTTAATTTCTTTTTTTTCTTTTTGTAGTGCTTGGGATCAAACCCAGGACTTCAGACATACTAGGCAAGTGCTCTACCACTGAGCCACATCCCCAGCTTGTTTTTGTTTTTAAGTTCCTCAAATACTGTGTTAACTAAAAAAAAAAAAAATTAATACCAAGTGCTACGGAGCAACAGACACAACCATACCCTGCTGTTGGAAGTATAAAATAGTATAACTTTGGAAAACTTTGGTAGCTTCCTTTAAGGTTAAAAACACATTTAATGACAACCCAGAAATTATACTTGTAGGTATTTTTAAGTATATTGTTTCCCTTTCTTCAGTACACAGGTTTGAACTCAGAGCTTCACACTTGCTACTGCAGGTGCTCTATCACCTGAGCCACTCAGCCACTCCATCCCCTTATGGATTTACTGCAAAGAAACAGACTTGTGTATGAATGCCCACAGTGCTTTATTTATCATAGCTCCAATCTACAAATCACCAAATATTCGTGAATAGGTTCATGGATAAACATTGTGGTTTACAGCAGAACACTATATAGCAGTAAAAAAGGAACAAATGATTGATACATAAAACATAGATTAGGTATAAAATATTTATTAGTGAAAGAATCCAGACACAAAATAAGTATTTTGCAATTCCATTTAATGAAATTAAGAACATTCAAAACTAGACTCTAGTAACAGAAAGTGGCTATGTAGACCCAGGTATTGAGGTCAGAAGTTAACTACAGAGGAACAGGAGGCAGCTTTTTTTCTTTGTCAGTACTGTGAGTTGAACACAGGGTCTTATGCTTGCTAGGCAGGGGCTCCACCACTTGAGCCACACCCCTCAGACCTTTTTGCTTTAGATTTTTTTTGGGGGGGTGGGTGGCAAGGGGGTAGGGTCTTATGTTTTCTGCCCAGTCTGAAAACACTGAGATCCTCCTATTTATGCTTCTCATTAGCTGGGACGATAAGTGTGTCATCACACCAGGCTATAGGTTGAAATGGGATCTTGTGAATGTTTTACCTGGGCTGGTCTTGAACTGTGATCTTCCTGATAGCTGGAATTAGAAGCATGACCAGCTCAGAAATGATAGAAGTATTTTGTGTGCTCATTGTTGTTGTGGTTACATGGGTCTATATATTTTTTGAAACTTAAATATTTTCAGCACTTAAAATGAATCCTAAACTTTTACTATATATAAAAATATACCTCTTTGAAATTGCTTTTTAAAATGAAATAAAGTATACACCATTTTTCCCCATACCAAAAAGTCATATACTTCTACAGTAGAATAATTTCAAACACGATGAATTTTTTACTAGTAAACTCAGTGACAGACGTAGGTCTGCAAGGGTGACTGACTTTCAGAGATCCAGTCAGAGGTTTTCTCATTTCTAAGAGAAGTTTGCTTCTCTTAGAAAATGACGTTTCCTGATTTGTATGCTTCATGTGAAATATTAGTCTGAGCTGTAGAGACTATCCTTTACTATAAACGATGCATGTTTCAGGTAAGGAGGAGCTAGCATGGCACGTATTTGCACCTATATCTTCTTCCATGGGACATCCATAACAGTATTTAACTGGTTATTTGAAAGATCAAGTGAAATTACACAAAACTCCACATGTGGGTACTGGTTTTCTTTACTATTCCTCTCTTTTGTTTTACCCTTTGCAATCAAGGACTAGATATAGAAGGCCGTGGTCATATTCCTCCAGAGGCTCCTAGTGAGATAGGTTCTGGGTTTCTTTTAGAAGATTCCTTTCTATATTTGTTAATTTTATTACCACTAAGATACTTCCATCATTGTATTTTGTTAATTTCTTTTCTGAATAAAAGGTAGCTGCTCAGAATTTACTTCTCATGGTAAATCCTAAGAAGGCGCCCTAAGAAGGGAACCACACTCAGTATCTTGTTAATTAAAAAAAAAAGTAAACTGCCACAAAAGCATTGTGCTTTAAAAGAATTTCTCTTACAGGTGTTTATCACCAACAAATACTTCAATAACAACTGTGGTTGAAGTTCTGTACAGAATTAAAATTATTTTTAAAAAGGAAAAGGAAAAAGAAGTAGTATACAGGTTAGAAAAAGAAAAGCTAAAAAAGTCCCTAAGTTTTCCTTGTATTTATACAGAGCCTCAAAACAAAATAAATGTGTTGTTTTCTTATTTGGCCTAATCTTCAAAAAACTAGGCTGTGAAAAATATTTGCAACAAGTGTTTCAAACCTGTCTATATCATGTAAAGAACATTTTCAGTTTGATAAGAAAATTATTAAGATCTTGAAGACTGCTGTTTGCCAAAGCAGGTAGACTATTCATGTGTGATGAAATATAATCAGAAAACGAACGCAGAGAGTTTGTTCTGCCACACGATTAATAAAAGCAGGGGAAAATACCATTAAAGAACTGAAGTATCAATTACATTAACAATTTTTTGTGTGTGTGTGCTGCTGGAGACCAAAGACAGTGTCTACATGTATGCTAGGCAAGAACACTTCCACTGAGCTACCCCACCCCATATATTGACAAAAATTTAAAAGATTCGAACCTATACCATTTGTAAGGATATATTCCAAAAGAATAGTTAAATGTTTAAAAAAAGAAAAAAGAGAGTATTAAAGCCTAACTATGACTCAAAATTGAGAAATCATGAAAAGCAAAAATTGGTAGGTGAAAAACTGGGAATAAATGTTTGCCATTCTTATCTCAAAGTGCAAATTTCCATAATATTTAAAGAGCTTCTATGAAATGAAGGAGACTAACCGACCTAATGATGGCAAGACATGGAGAGATTACAGAAAACAGACCATATATGTAGGCTTTTAAACACAAGATATTCATTCAGCCTCACTCAAACTAAAACAAAAGCAAAAACACAAAGGTACCATTTTTTTATAATCAGATTGGTAAAAATCTAGTAACAATGATAATAAAAGTAAAACTTGCCCCCAAAAAACATGACATTACTGTCTGCTGGCTCATTATATCATAAAATAGTAGAGTTACACAACAGCTAGGCACATAAAAAGATGTCACAAAACAGGACCCCAGCAAGGCTGACTTTATATGGTGAAAGTTCTAAACAGAGAATCTGGTATCTAGGCAGGCAAGTTTAGGGGAAACTTGATGGAGAGATGCAATGTATAAACCATGGGTCTTGGCTTATGCTCAGTGTGATGGACAGAGATCTCCCTATATTGTAAGTATGTTGCCTTATTAGTCTGTAGAATGTTTTGCTTTTGCTTTTTCTGGTATCCCGTACTAAGTCATACATATTACCTATTTTTAGAACTTAGGAACAAAGGTATTTTGAGAAACTGAAAACTTAAAACAAGATCTTCACCTTATAAAAGTAACACTTCAGAATTTGTTAATTACACACTGCTTTTCAAGTCCACTGTCTTGTTCATTTTTGTATGACCTGAGACACTCGTTTTTCTACTTGAGCAGTCTTGTGTTTCACTGCACTGTCCATTTTATTACATGAATAGGAAACAGCCTGGCTGTTGGCCTGAAGACCTATCATTGGTTTCATTAATAAAAATAAATAGTGTTATATTGATTTTCTTTTAGCAAACTTACATTCTTTTCCTACAAAATAGACATTTAAGTGGATCCAAATGCAAAGAGGGTTTTCGGAAAATATTTCTACATGATGCAAGACATTTCAGAATTATAATCTCTTCTGAAAAATGAAATAAAAAACTGCAGTCTCTCCTACTGAATTTTGTTGACTACAGTCAAGCAGTCTCTCCTATTGAATTTTGTTGACTACAGTCAAACTAAATTCCTTCCCAGTAGATTATTTGGGTTGGCCAATAATTCAACTTTTTTGGTTAACAAAAACTATATAATCAAAACTTTAAAAGAGCAATTTTAAAGACTGTGCCAAAGAGTAATTTTTAAATTTATATGATCCAGATATCAGTAAGCAAATCTCTCATGCTGAAGACATTTTTTAAAGCAATGCATTTTGTTCTAAATATGATTGTCATAGAGTGAAAAATTTAAACTTATTTACCAGCTATTACACAGGACATGTGGAGAGAGGGTCTTTTCATTTAGTAGATCACCATCATTAATTTTCAACTGATGATTTTATAATAGGTCCTTCTGGTTCCTGATGGTCATTATCAAAATATAATGCACTGAAGATATGGCCTGTACAAAGTAGAACAGAGATCTTAATTAGAATTCTGACAGGTCCACTCCAATAAAATGATGAGATTATTTGTAATTGATGTCACAATCAATTACCATTTGGTTCATCATGAGCACTCTAATAGGTCTGGTCTTGGTACTGGCCCCAGGATGGTGCTGAGTGAGCGGCTGCCCTGTTTATGCTGTTACTGAGACAGGGAGACACATTATCATCAGTGTCCTAATGACCTCTTTTGAAGATATTAATGACCCTGTCACACTGTTTTGATTTCTTATAACCTTAGTTTGGGGCTTGTATAACAAATTAATATTTGGGAACTATAGGATTAAAAGATCTTTTTGAAAGCTGAGACCTTTGACAGTAAACTTTATTTTATTGAAAGCAAAAATGCCAGTCTTAGAATTTTAGGTAGTTCTTAAAAGAAAATGTTAGGACAGTTCTCCCTACCTCCAAATGGCATATTTGGATTTTGTTTGTTTTGTTTTTTGAGACAAGGTCTTACTATATAGTGGGATTACAGTGTGTGGTACCAGGCTCAGCCTTTAAAATAGACATGCTTTAGAATGACAGAATCCAAATTAGGTTTTATGTCTTTATAGGGGTTCCTTTTCTTCACTAATTCTAGGTGCCAATGGGTCATGTTTGGCTAGAAGGTGATAACCTACAGAATTCTACAGATTCCAGGTACTATGGACCTATTCCATATGGACTAGTAAGAGGACGAATCTTCTTTAAGGTACAGTATTCTGCTTCACATGTAAGCTTTATTCTCTGAGCCAGAAAAAAAAAAGTTTCTCTCAAAATGAACTTTGAACAGTTGACTTAACTGTTGTAGTGACTACATTTTAATGAACAAGTTGTTTTTACTTAGTAGCTCTATGCAAAACATTATCCCCCTTCTCTGTGTTGCTTTCATAAAGGTACGAAATTGAGGATGACTTCTTAATAATAATAAAATTTAAACTACATTAGCTATAGCCTAAGAAACTCTGGAGCCCAGGCTGGCCTTGAATTCTCAATCCTGGGATTGTAGGTATGCACTACCATGCCTAGCTGTGGCTTCTCCTTTTTATCACAAGTTGTAAGGAAAATATATGAATACTTAAGGCGAATGGATAATTTACCTGAGTCTCTGTTCTTAAACAAATGTCATATTCAAGTATTTAAAACTTAAACACTTAAGGTTGAAAGTTTATAGTTAACTCTTACTTGAGGCTAGTAAAAGAAAATGCTTATATTCATACACTACACATATAGTTTCTTGAATAATGTTTGAATGTTCCAAACTGTAGTGTTTAAATACAACACAAGTTTTTTTTAAGTCTTATTGTAATACAGCAAATTTTGTTCTTGACTGATGAGTAAGGAGAACACATTTAATTATCTAGCATGGAGAAAAAAGGATGAATAGAAAAAGGAATATGATATCACTTTAACTGTTTTCAAACTTATATATTTTGATTTTACAGATTTGGCCTCTGAGTGAATTTGGATTTCTACCTGACAGCTCGAATGGCCACAGATTTTCTGATGATTAGCAAGCATTTATTATTTTGACTTGACTGTTCAAGTGAAGTGAATTTACTTTACTTGAATTCACTTCACATCCTGTTCAGGTGAATTTATTACTGCATTCGGAACCATGTATTTATCAATAAACTATCTGCTATTCAGTTCTAGTTACTTTTAATTGCCACTGTCAAGAATAAGCAACATGCTATGCAAGTTGTATTAGTTAAGAATATTTGGATAAGAATGTAATTCAAGCCTGCAATTCCAGCACGTGGGAGGCCAGCCTGGGCTACATAGTTCCTGGCTAGCCTATGTTATATGATGAGAACCTGTCTCAAAAATAAATAATCCAAAATAAGTTTTACATATAAATTTTATGATATACAAATGTTTTTTCTGGAGGGGGATGGATGACTACCTCACTTGTATTTTGGTTTTGTAGGTACAATGAACATAATCTGATGTTCTTGAATGTGCCACATACTTCAGCCATATTTAGAAGTCAGAGTAGTAACTCTTTTCATTTACAAATCCAATGTGACAACACGAGGAGTGCGGCCTAATGAAGAGCTGCTCACTTACATGCTTGGCCCACTCAGTTGAAGTTAAGTAAAAAATCTTCAGTGATTCCACAAAGTATCCTCAGAGTCTTTAAATGCATTCTGATATTAAATACATAAAAAATATGACTATTACATCTACGATCTGTGTAGTCAGTAATAATTCCTAATAAAGGTCCATTTCATAGCAGCAATGAAAAGAGTGATTCCATATTCATAAACATAGGTAATTAAAACACTATCATAATAAGGAAAGGCATGTCCCAAATTATTTTTTAAAGCTTCCATTTCCTAAGTTACATTTAAAGGTGAAGATGGCTGTGTTCACAATTTTCTGTCTCCAAAGCTTACCTATCTTTCCATAGATGCCACTTCACCTTTACTGACTTTGAGATAACTTCATGGATATCTATATCCAGCATTTTTTATGGGAAAACTGGGCTTACATATTGTTCACAAAAATTCTAACTAATTCTAGTGTCTCTAGAATTTGAGATATGTATACAATAGGCCTATAGCTAAAACCATCATCTGCTAGATCAGAAACTTAATAACTACAAAGGAACATAATACTTTTACCTAATAAAAAAGACATGGTGATGTTAAGAAAAAGAAAATTCTTATTTTGTACCAAGAAGAAACAAAAGTCCTCAGATGGGAAAACACAAAATAGAATTTATAATTCAAGTCTTTTTTGTGGCAACCTGTACAAATAAACAGCAATTTTCTATTAATCTGAACTGGCCTTTGCTTGATGATCTTGTATTTTCTTAGAATCCATTTCCTTGAAGCTTGAGTGGTCTTTTCTCATCCTGTCCGAATATGCAATGACAGGATTCCAAGTAGTGAACTAAAACATTTTAGCAACAATGAAGGAGTTCTATAACTAGTGAACATGTATCACAAGCAATCAGATTAACATCTTCGGCTTCATCCTTGGAGATGGTGTATTTTCCACCACATCGGCAACTCAGAGAGAAAGATTGATCATCTGCAAAGAAAACAAAATAGTGCTTCAAATGCTTACCAACAACTACTTTGTTAATACCCTTCAAAATGCAGTTCATTCCACAGGAATTGAAAAACAAAAGAAAAGCTCAGAAAAGATAAAAATGTGTTTAAAAGAGAACTAGAAAAAAATTTCTTGCATAGGGGCAGTGTTTCTAAAAATGATCTGCTAAAGAATCCTTAGCTGTGGAAGAGATGGACTGAAGTTTAAAAATCAATAACCCAAAGATTCTGATGGGGAAAGGGGATGCTCAGAAGTAACCTATGAAATTGTTAAAAGTTTTCTGTTTTCTTAAGACTCATGTAAACTTTACATTCTTCACAGCAATGTATTTGTCTAAAATATTACAGCGAAGCAAAAAGAAAAACAGCAATACCTATCTCACTCTTCAGAAGCATGGTATTTTCCCTAGAATGTACCTTCCAGAGGAAAATGCTACCTCAACTGTTTATCAAGCTAAGTATCTATATACCTTCTGTTCTGGATCACGATTTCAAGAATCCTGACTTAAATACAGAAGCACAATACCACATGAGGTTTTTTGCTGTGAGGTATTGTATGTATATTTGCTTGGTGTTTACAAATGATATATGAACCAGTAGGAAAATAATTGATGTAAGATGCTCAAAGGAGGCAGTAAGTCTTGGCAATAATGGCACCGATAGGTTTCGGTTCTTACTGCACCCTTAAGCTTCCGTTTCCCAGGGTCATGGTCCTGCCTCAAGTCTAGCCTGAATCCTCCTTCTGCCCCAACCTCCAATCAGCATGAACCATAAGATCCTAACCAATCAGATCATGCTGAGTCTCACTGATGGGCATTTAAGCACCTCTCTCTTTCTCTCTCTCTCTCTCAAGAATCTCTCTCAAGAATCTCTTGGCCAGATCACTCCTCTCCAGGTGGTCCTTTTGGGCCTACATTTCCAACAGTAGGGTTAACATTTAGCCTCGTAATGGTAGAAATCTTAAGTCTGTCATTTTCCTGCAAGTTTAAATGTTAGCGTCCTTGGGCTGAAAGAATCTCTGATTCTTCTGGTCTTCTATTTTACTGGGAAGCAATTTTTATCAAAGAAAAATAACATTCCAATTATAGTATGTATTTTACTGCCATAATTTTTGTTAGAGATAAAGGAAGTCACAAAAGATTCATAATTTCCCACAATCAAATACCTTCAATCAGTTGTCAAGGTTGATTAACATTTAGATTTCATTATATGCACAGAAAGAGAGATGGAGATTCAACTACCTTGTGGTTGCTCTTTGTTGAGTTTAGTCTTGGAAAAATTAGCAATTAAGTAAGGCAACTTCAAGTTTCTTTTATCACTTAATCCTCTTTTATTGTTTACCACAATGTTTTTTTATTTCTCCATAAAGAAAAAAATTCATTCTTGAATTCAGAAGCACAAACATCTCTTCTGCTTAATCCAATATATTATGTACTTGACCATGTTTCCAAAGTGAGTTGCTTCATTATTAACTTGTCTGAAATGCATATATTCTAACCATTGATTTTCTTAAGCTCACTCTCCCCTTCTTGTTTTTTACCACCTCAATGAACACTGAGAAAAAATTTCAGGTGACATGTGGTAGGTAAATGGCACAGAGGATACCATGGGTTACTGTGGAGTTTTGTCATAGACAATTTCAAATGTTAATGCTTACTAAAAATTCACTACTTGTGGAAATTTCTTATTACATAATGCTCTTAAAGTGATAATCTCATAGAAATCATCTTAAATATAATGAAAATAGGCCAACAAAATGGCCAAGTCATAAAATAAGTAAGGCAAAAGGTAGTGTCAACCTCTCAGCAGTTCCAGGTATGCCTTTTAAGCACAATAAAATTCAACATTTCATACTGATTTTTGGTCAAGCATCTGACAACTTGGCTATGTCTACCATGTGGGGTTTTGCCACCTTTTCTCCTTTCCTGGATCTTCATCATCCAAGGGCATTGTGAAAAGGATCCTGAAGGAATCTAAACAACTTTTTACTTGCTCAATTGATCACACTTTTTATTTAAGAGTATGCTAAGGCTACTCTTTCCCACTCCAATAAAAAATTGTAGTTCAACACTTGCATAATTATTTTTTAAGTATTCTGTAAGAATACTGGCTTCATGCAGCTGTTGTTCAGTATTTTCTCTCAGGAAGATAAGGATTATTTCCATCTTTACAATGGTAAAAACCCTTAAATAAACAGCAAAGATATTCTGTACTTTTAAAATTACCTGTTTTGTTTAGTATGGCTTTGCTAGCTGTAGTTGGGATTATTCTGTCTCTTCACTGTGAGGTTTACTTCAGGGACTCCCAGGAACAATTACACACTTTTGACAATCATTGATGATTTCATGTTATACATTTCCTTCAACATGCTGGCATTTTCACTACCAGAAAGTCCATGTATTTATTGACTGAATAGATGCTTCAACAATTATTTTTAATTTAAACTATAAATACTTAAAGTTATATTAATAATAAAACTTTTCAAAGGTAAATGAAAGAAGAAAAATTACAAAAACCAGTTTTACTACATTTACACTATTAGGAATTATTAGTAAACAAAATTCTCAGCTACACAGGAAGCATAAGGAGGAGGATCACAGTCAAGGATGGCCTGGGCATAAACTGAAGACCTTATCTGAAAAATAAATATCAAATAAGAGCCGGATGCCAGTGGCTCACTCCTGTAATCCTAGCTACTCAGAAGTTAGAGATCAGGAAGATCGTGGTTTGAAGTCAGCCCAGGAAAACAGTTCACAAGACCCTGTCCGGAAAAAAACCCATCACAAAAAAACGCGGGGAGGGGGCTGATGGAGTGGCTCAAGGTGTAGGCCCTGAGTTCAAACTCCAGTACCACAAAAAAAATAAAAAAGAAGAGCCGGGTGCTGGTGGCACACCTATAATCCTAGCTACTCAAGAGGTGGAGATCAGGAGGATCGCAATTCGAAGCCAGCCTGGGCAAAAAGTTTGCTAGACCCTATCTCAAAAAACCCTTCACAAACATAGGGGTAGTGGATTAGCTCAAGGTAAAGACCCTGAGCTCAAGTCCCAGTACTACCCCCCTCAAAAAAAAGGCCTGGGGCATGGCTCAAGTGATAGATTGCCTGCCTAGCAAGCATAGGGCCCTGAGTTCAAACAGCAGTAGCACCAAAATAAACAAATCAAATAAACATAGAATTAAAAACAGACCACATAAACACAGAGAGAGCGCCAAGCTATTCTTAAATTAAGATTTCCAAATATTCTATAAGGTTTCTTTTTTTTCTTTATATAATAATTTCTAGTATTTCTCTTCACTGTACATAAGACAAAAAAAGAACAAAAGAAAAAAAATCCAACCTTGGTTCCAAGTCATTTCTTCAAGATATACTTGAGCATCTACTGGTCCCATATTTCTTAGTTCATCAGCTGTAAAATACAAAATGAGATAATTTTGATATTTTTACTATGAAGAATGCTGAAAAGGCATCGCCAGTTGGTTATTACATTTCTTATTTACCTATCATTTTAAATTTTGCTTACTACTTTTGACAACAGTGTTAAGGCTACTTGACTTCAGCTAACTAAAAGTCTAGAACATACTGCTTGTTATAAACATTAGCAGTTAAAGTCTATCCCATTTTCCTCAACTATGCAATGTGGCAAAAGCATGAAGTCAATTTGATGATTTCTTTCATCAACTAATAACCTCTACTTTATGACACTAAAACTTTTTGTCAGATAAATTTTATCTGTAGCTAAGAAGGCATTTTAGACCTGGGTAAAGGCAACTATTTTGAACTTAATTATAATATTTTATTAGCTTTCTAACTTTAGATATCACTTGTTTCATCTTTATGATAGGAGTTTTATCTCTTCCTTATTTACTTCCTATTTACTATGGACTACATGATGTCCTCCAAAAATTTATATGTTGCAGCCCTAACCCCAATGTGACTATGTGAAGATAAAGTTTTTAGGAGGTAAATAAGGTTAAAAGAGGTCATAAGCTTGGGGTCCTAATGCAATAGTATTAGTGGCTTTTATAAGAACAGGGGGAGAGAGAGACCTTTTTTCCACATCCACCCATGTATGGAGGAAAAGTCATGTGAGGACACAGCAAAGGGAGGCTGTCTGCAAGTGAGAAAGCTCATCCTTATTACTAACCTGGCCAACACCTTGATCTTGTACTACCCAGCCTCTAGAAATGTGAGAAATAAATTTTGTTTAGGCCATCCAGTCTATGTCATATTGTTATGGCAGCTCAAGCTGCCTAACAAGTATTCTTTAAATCAAATGAAATCAGGTTAAAAGTGCTTTAAAGAGTAAAGCTCTACCCAAATTTAAGGGAATGTTAGTCATCTGATTGCAACCAAATAACTAACTTATATTCCCACAACATGACTTTATTGCGTTGATGTTCCCTTGCTGGCCAATATTTTCACTGCAGATGGAAGGTCCAAGGGAGCCTGGAATCAACATAAATATAGTTAAGAGTATTGTCTATGTAGTAAAAGTATGCTTGCTTCTCTTCTTAAAACAACTGTAGGCTGGGACAAAGAAATCAAGTACAGATAGGAAGCACCTGTCTTTGTTTTTAAAGGCATGTTACATTTCTTGTATGCTTGTATTCTTCTAGAAGTCAATGCTTAAAAAAAGACTACTGAAATCCAGCCCCCAACTCCCATGAAATTTTCTTTAGCTGTCTCACTAGTCTCTTGTTCACTTGCTGAGAATACTTCCCTTTGTTCGGTTGTGTGAATGCCTACAATTTAATTATATTTAATAACTGCCTGTTCAAAATTTATTGGTGAGTTACACAATTTCAAATAGATGAAAAGATTATACAATATTTTGAGCTAGCCATAGATTTCCATTAAAGTATGTCAAATATTATACCACTTCATATTTACTGGGTACCAACAATCTATTAAACTGTCTCTAAAATCCAAAGACACAGACTTTGCTAGTGGTCCAGTTAGTTCCTCTATCCCTGTGTGCACACTGAATAGCTTATATAGAATGTATCAGTATGCTAAGAAATTTCTGAACACAACTTAATTTCTACATTCTATACAAAGTACACTTTGCTATCAAAGTCTCAAGGGTGGGGGAGGAACATATTTTATTTTCCTACTAGAAGGACCAACATGGTTTTCTGTAATAGAAAAATTAAACACTCTAAGATTTGAGGAATGAGGGTATTTGACATAAGAGCTCCTTTAGAGAAAAAATAAGTGTCATTAATTTACAACCAAGTTGCTGATACTGCAGGACATCTTATAGATATCTTAAGTAATTTTGAAATCAAAGCAAAGCAGACAAGGCACAGGTAATGACAAATCAGCTTTCTCAATCAAATCTATCTTGAATACTTTTTTAACTATATAAATGACAACTCACTTATATACCCCTTATACCATTTTTATTTAAAAATGATAAAGAACACAAAATGGTTAATACCTTACCAAAGGTCAGTCACAAGGAATATATTAAAATATTCTATTTCGGTGGCTTTCTACACATCTGTATATTGACCTGATTATTCAATACCAGGTGCACACAGGACAAGTTTCTGTGAAGATCCTGGTTTTTAAGAATCAGTATCTGACATAAAAGAGAATGTGCGGTACAATTCCCCATTATATGAAAAAATAACAGGCAAAACTTCCCCATGGTGTTGGGGGATGGAGGAATGAGTGTTGCCAGGAAGAAGTCACAAGGGGCCTTCTGGTTAAATGGGTGTGCTCACTGTGAAAACCTATCAAGCTATACACTTAGATTTCTGTGCTTCTCTGTATGTATGTTATACTTAAACAAGAAAAGTTTTAAAGGTGGTGTTTGTGACTCTAATGGCTACATTTTAAAAATAGGAACAAGAAAAGAAAAGTTAAAGAAAGTGTTTTCTTTGAAAGGACGGTAATCTAACAACTTCTGAAAAAAGACTGGGGGTGATTAACTCAGAAGAAAATTGGATCCCTGGAGAACTGTATAATGAGCAGGCCGGGAACATACAAATAAAGGTGACTCTAAATGTGGGCGGTGGGGGGTGACAAGATCCTTTGTTGAGAGGCAGGTGTCCAAAGATAGAGCAGTAGCAAATTCCACACCACTACCCCAACCCCCACTACAATTATAATGGAGCACAAACAAATCAATGTTTTTTTTTTTCTTTTTAAACAATGACCTCTGCTTGTCCACCATTGTGGTTATAATTTAAAAAGCTTAATTCTTCCCTATCCTCTAAAGTAACTCATAGGAACCCTGTAATTAGCTTTGATAATTGTCTACTAATCAGGCATGGCAACTTCAAAAGAGATAAGTTAGTTCTCTTTTGTATTGCCTATTATAAATATTTTTGCTCATTGCAATAAACATCTTAACTGGTATCTAGAAATGGAAATTCTATCTCAAAGTTCTGTTAATATAATACTACTAAAAATGTTGAGAAAACAAAATGACTTTAATTGAAGGATCAGATCCAAGATTTAAAATCTGGAATGTTTGCTACAAAATATTAATAACTATTAAAAAAAAGAAAACCCACAGCCATTTGTAAAGAAAGAGCACTTGCTGAACTCTAGCTTGAGTCCTATGACACTACATGATTTGATTCTTTAGAAGTAAGTGGATTCAACTTTTTCTAGGATATCTAGAAACATTAAAGTCTGTTCGCATCCTATCCTGTACTCACAGGCTTAGCTAAGTAAGGAAACAAGAAATACTTCCAAATTTACTTTTACATATAGAAAGTACTGCATTATAATTAAAGGGAGGTTCCTGAGGAATATAATGTAAAATCAAATAATTTATGTGGTTACTTGAAAAAGAATCTTTCAACCTTTAGAAGTATAGGCCCTTCTGACCTTGTGTTCTATTGGATTTGTCTGACAACAAGAGGTGAAAGAATTCTGTGGCTCCATTGTCTCAACATTGGGATCTAAGAAAACACTGGCAGGACTCATCAGAGAGGTTTATGAGCCTGCAATTCAAAGAGATTAAAAGGAAAATCTACTGAGATTCTTTCACACTGAAGAATAACATTAAATAACTATTAGCTGCTTGGTTCAGTAAAGCTTACTAGAGCTCTCGCTGGGTCATTCACAACTTTCTAAAAAGAGGAAAGGGTTTTTTCAGCTCCATTTGGGAATCAATAAATATTTCTTACTTCTTACAAGACAATGGAATTCTAGTCTTTTAAAGCTTCCTCCTAATGATAGTAAAATTTCTAAACAACTCTGTTTAATGTCTAGATAATTACACTTCCAATCCCAGGAAACTTTCTAACTGTAATTACAATAAAAATAAAAAATAACACAACCAAAAGCTATAGGGGAGAGGAACTTAACTTTAATCATAATGGTCGAGGTATTTAAGAGTCTCATTCAATCAAAAAGATTAAGTCCATCTGTCCATATTATTCATGTGTTAGAATGTCATATTATTCAAGTGATCATGTCCTTCAAATGTTGTCATGTAGCAATTAATCCACTGTTTTGTTTTTATGCCACTTTAAATACTTAAAGTTTACTCCAAACATAAAGGCATGTATGTGTGTAAATCAAAAGCAAACAGCAGCGTTGTTTTTTTAGATCTAACTCACTATCATACTGTCTTAGAGCCAAGTAATTTAATTTTAAACAATCATTCTTAAAAATCATTTCACTATACACATTAAGTTTTTTTATATAAGGAGTAACTTGAAAATAATCAGCTTCCTTGTTATTATGTCTCTGTTCTTGGAAAAGTCTGATAACAGAATGAGAATTAGACAACATTTAATTTGAAAACTTTATTAAATTATAAAGCCCTATAATCCTTTCTCAGATAAAGTCAAATTCACATTGAACAAAAATTATAAACTTGGAATTTAATTATGAACTTAAAGAACTGTGGAGCTTTTATAAACTAGATACAAACATAATACTCTAGAAAGGCACCAAGTGAACCCCAGAAACTGAATTCCTTCTGTTTCACAACAGAACAGGTAGAATAGCAGAAGACATAGGCCTGGCCTCTTGTTCTGATCCTCAAATTGCCTCATCTTGACTATGTGGAATTAAAAATAGTGGGCTGCACACAATTTGGTAGCCTAGTATACTGATTAAGACTCAGAGACGATGGCTGTGAATTCCCCCTCCCCTATCAATTACCAGCTATGTGACCTTAGTCAAACTACTTAACCTTTCAGAGCCTTTGACTCTTTCTCTGGAAAACAGACAATAATATCTTCCTCACAAAGATATTTACACAGTATTTAAAAGAAAGACAATTGCCACAGTTCTAATGCCCAATAAATGACAGCTACTTTAACTATTATTATCTCATAATTCTTGTGTTGAACTGTCTATACTAGACTCAAACAAGAAAACAACTAAAACCCAACCCATTATTAGTGGAGGGTAGATGGGAAGCTTCGAGTTCTACAG